ACGCCTATAAAAAATCAAAAAATGATGAAATCTCTGACGGATCTTCACTCTCATATTCCATGCAATAACAGGTGGACATGGAGGCTTCGGAGGAGGATTCGGAGGCGGTCACGGAGGATTCGGAGGCGGTCACGGAGGATTCGGAGGCGGTCACGGAGGATTCGGAGGCGGTCACGGAGGATTCGGAGGTGGATTTGGAGGTAAAATATCAAGTTCAAATCAAGCTGCCTATTGCAGTGATATTACCGAGAACACGTTACTCCTCAACTTGGATATCTTAATATTTATTTCTTTATTTTCAGGACGATATGGAAAGTAAGCGCTTCGACGATCTTTCACCCTCCAGGAGGAATGTATATTGAAAAGTGTATTCCTATTTTTTTAATTAAAGTGTAAATTCAACGTATTCCTGATTTTCTCCTACACTAATGCACATATACATGAATAGTTTCTGTGCCAGTTTCTTAATATATCATCAGGTATTGTGCCACGGTGGACGTCAGTTTGATATGTAGATATGTCAGGCTAAAGAATACTATGAAACATATCTAGATCATATTGATGAGAGCACAACTGTCATTATTGATTGTCATGACCATTTCAAGGAAGAATGTAGATCGTTCACATGAAAAAGTGAAATAGCAATGTAAAGGAAATTACCACATTTTGAATACCAGAATACAGCCTTTGTCTCACTGAAGACAAAACGGACATGTGACACTCTAAACATACGATGCAATGACTGGTATCGGAAAATGGCTCGCAATACTATGGAATCACAGATCGATCTCTATATATATATATATATATATATATATAATATATATATATATATATATATATATATATATATGTATACATATGTATATATGTGGTATGTATATATATGCATATATTATATATATATATATATATATATATATATATATATATATATATATATATATATATATATATATATATTATATATATATATATATATATATATATATATATATATATATATATATATATACATATATATATATATATATATATATATATATATATATATATATATATATATTATATATATATATATATATATACATATATACATATATGTATACATATTTACACACACATATACACATATGAATATATAAATATATATATATATTATATATATATGTATATATATACACATCCATACGTATGTATGTGTATGTGACAGAGAGAAACAGACAGACGGAGAGAGAGAGGTATGTACCTATATTATATATATTCACACACACACACAAATATATATATATCTATCTATCTGTAATATATATATATATATATATATATAATATATATATATATATATATATATATATATAATATATATATATATATATATATATATATATGTGTGGTGTGTGTGTGTGTGTGTATGTGTATGCATGTATGTTTCTGCATGTGTATATATAGATAAATAAATAAGTAGATACATATATTTATTTATTTATATATATGCATGAATAAATAGCTACTCTTCTTTATCTCTCTTATTACGTGCTCAATTAATAATTTGGTGTTTATCTTTATATGATAAAATTTAGCCCAAACGTCCAAGATACGGATGCACTTCTTATCTTCCGGATAATAAAAGCACCAGAGGGTTATCTGAGCGGCAGATTAACATGAAATAGACGTTCGTGCACAGAGAGCGAGCGTAAGGGCTTTGGGAATAATGGTGCGTTCGGAACTGCTCGTCTATCTCGTCCAGACCAGTTGGACGAGATGTTTTGACCGTTCGGAACCTCCACTATCTCGTCCCGGACAAGTAGTCTAGCTCGTCCAACTCGCCCTCCTGCGAAGGTGGCCGAGCAGGACGAGATGACGTCACAATAGGTTTTGTATGTAAACATTGACAGTTGCAGGTAACCACAAGATATTGGTGGGTAATTTTATTACCCTTAATTGGTGTTATCAAAAGATATTTTTGTGTTTGTCAGTTGCAGGTAAGTTAAATATGCATCAAAGGAGTTACAAAACCTATGCAGCGTGTAAAATAAAGACACCGGTATGATAAAAGATAATGTTTACATTCGAGTCGGTTGCATTCTGGGCTGAAAAGGTCTTGGAGGTTCCGAACGCGGCCCACTTGTCCTGCTGGTCCTGGACAAGTGTCTGGACGAGCAAGACGAGCAGTTCCGAACGCAGAATAAGGAGACGAGGGCGATGGAGATGGGAGGCAGAGGAACGCGAGAGGATGGAAGAGTGGCCGGGAGAGTGAGAACCATTAAGCGGATTTGAAATAGAAAACAGGAGAAGACAAGTCATATATGGAAGACAACAAATCCCACACAAGGCGATGTTTTTCCCAATATTTCAGGCGTAGGAAAAGGTGTGTGGGGGGAGGGGAGCGACTGCCAAACACACTAAAATGAAGGAGGACAGAACCTAACTTCTGCCTCCCACTCCTTAGCTTTCGAGGACATTCCTGTAAACAAACAGGGCAATTCCTTACCAGTTACAGATCACTGGGCGCCTGCACTTGAAAGGGCAGCTGCAATTGAGTCTTGCGTTCAACATAAATAACCATTACGTCTAGTACTAAATAAAAATGTTTTTTCCTTAAATGGCCGACTGCATAACAATTTATCTTCCATATTAATGCTCATGCAAAACTTTCTTCGGATTTCAAACGGTGAAAGTCATTATAAGGGCGAATGTGTTGGCGATGAATTTCGTGTTAGGTCATCCAGCCAACACCAAGTCGCGCCTTGACCTCGCTTCCTCACGCAGACTCCAGAGAAACTCGAAGGTCGCGGCCTCATTCCCGCTCCTCCTGCCAGCCTTCCTGGCCGGCGGGAGTATAAAAGCCCCGCGCTGCAGCCACGGCGTCAGTCGTCTCGCAGCGCACCCATCACTAAATGGTATGTCTAACAAGTTCTGCACTCGCGCTCTGTAAATCAATTGAAAGACCCGATTCGAAAGAAGAAAAGAATACACATGGAATAGCTTAAGGCCTACGTTCATGCATGAGAAGTTGGTCTCTCTACATACCAAGGGGAAAGAATTACGAGAAAATAATGATAATGCATTCTCTGCTTCCATTAGACTCGAGTTCTCTTCACCGTCGTGGTCCTGTCCCTCGTGGTCGCCTTGGCCGCCGCCGGTGGATTTGGCGGCGGACACGGAGGCGGATTTGGCGGTGGACACGGAGGGATTTGGCGGCGGACACGGATTTGGCGGACGGAGGCGGAGGACACGGAGGTGGATTTGGCGGTGGTGGATTCGGAGGATCTGGAGGCTATGGAGGCAGAGGATTTGGAGGTAATGTCCTTTGTGCAGAATATTTGTACTACGAACATAATGAACATCAATTAACGCCTATTAAAAAAATCATGAAATGATGAAATCTCTGACGGATCTTCACTCTCATATTCCATGCAATAACAGGTGGACATGGAGGCTTCGGAGGAGGATTCGGAGGCGGTCACGGAGGATTCGGAGGTGGATTTGGAGGTAAAATATCAAGTTCAAATCAAACTGCCTATTGCAGTGATATTACCGAGAACACGTTACTCCTCAACTTGGATATCTTAATAATTATTTCTTTATTTTCAGGACGATATGGAAAGTAAGCGCTTCGACGATCTTTCACCTCCAGGAGGAATGTATATTGAAAAGTGTATTCCTATTTTTTATATTAAAGTGTAAATTCAACGTATTCCTGATTTTCCTCCAACTATAATGCACATATATATGAACAGTTTCTGTGCAGTTTCAAACTAATATATCATTAGGTATTGTACCACGGTTGACGTCAGTTTGATATGTATATATGTCAGGCTAAAGAACACTATGAAACATATCTAGATCAGGCTGATAAGGACAACTGTCAGTATTGGTTAAGACTTTCATAATCATTTTAAGAAAGAATATAGATAATTCCTATGAAAAAGTTAAATGGCGTCATAAAAAAAAAAAAATAGCATATGCTGAATACCTGACATTTCCTACCAAGAATACATCCTTTTTTCACTGGAGACAAAACGGACATGTGACATTTCAAACAAACCATGAAATTCCGGTTAGCTCAGTTATAGATGTCAACCTCTTGTATAATCAACATATTCAAACTCTACGGGCTCCTCCCCCGCGTTTCAGTGTTCCATTTTAGCTCAGTTATAGATCTCAGACTTGAAAAGAATTAAGCTATTTACAGTCCACGGGTTCCTCCTCCTCGTTTTACTGTTCTATCATGACCAAATATTTTCTCATTTGTTGTGGTAGCGTCGTGGTCCGATATAGGTCAAGGAAAATAAAACTAGCCAAAAAGGGAATCTAATGTTTGAGTTGAACCATTGAAATATAGACCAAACAATCAATCAACATGTAGAAAACATGAACAAATTAAGTTCTTTCTGGTGTGCTTCTTACTACATAATACCATCAGCATTATATATTCAGCGGTCTTAAACTATTTATGTACGTACATGTGTGTGTGTGTGTGTGTGTGTGAGGGAGAGAAAAGAGAGAGAGAGAGAGAATGTAAGTGAATGTGTAAGTGCGTGTGTGCATGAGTGCGTGTACGTGTGAGTGTAAGTGTAATTATGTGACGGCTTTTTCGGGTGAGCGTGAGCAAGCATGAACGTAACTACGTGTATACTTCTGTGCGGCCATGTGGGTTTTCATAAAATTACTTTGCACATAAAAAAAAGAAAAAAAAACAATAATAAAAGCACAATCATCAGCTCTCACTTTAAGTCACTGTTTTGGACAAGTGTTACATTGTTTGGGCAATTTCATACTCTTTCTCATTATATATTCTTTCTCCTTTACTACAATTTCATCTACTGTAAAGAAACTTAAAGATAAATAAGGTAAAACCGGTAAAAGAAATAAAAGTGGTGATTTCCGGCATTTTACTGGAAGAATGGCAGCGTACATATACAACCAATATAATTCGTTTTACCTTTTAGTATCAACACATCGGTCACTGTTGAATCCGCTGTCGTAAGGGTCAC